CCGCGACCCCAGGCTCCCGGAGTGCGACCCGCCCACGCCCGCGCCCTCCTGTCGGCCTGCAGCACGCGGGGACGCAGCCGGCTCCGCTCGGGCTCAGCGAGGCACAGAAGCGGATCCTGGACCTGGAGAAGAGCCTGCAGTTCCTACAGCAGCAGCACTCGGAGACGCTGGTCAAACTCCACGAGGAGATCGAGCACCTTAAGCGGGAGAACAAGGGTGAGCCGCTGGGTGCTAGCCTGGCATTTACAACCCGAATGCCACGGCCATCAACTCTGAACAGTCTCCGGGTGCGGGGAAGGACGTGGGTGGCTTCTCTTTAGTAGGGCTTACCTACAGGGCTTAGTTAGTCCTCGTGTGGTCCTTTTGTGCCCACCAGCCTAGGCAAATGCTGATCCTTCTGTGAACTCTGCCCAGCGCAGAGTATGGCCCAGCTCCTTGTTTAAAACCGTTGCGGAAGTTAAACAGCAGAGCAAATGCGAGTAAATGGTCACCAGCTAAACACATACAGATCTTTGGCAGGGATTGCCTGGATACTGCCTTGCATCCCTTCCAGCCAGGGCACCCTACATGCACCCCATCCCCAAGGCTTAGCCTACTAAGAACTTCAGGCTTCTGTGTGGCATGACTGCTATTCACTCTGCCTCACACCTTAGCTAGGGCTGCTCAACTTCCTCGCATTCAGGGCCTGTGGCCTCAGTTTTCTCCCTCTTTCTGGTACTGTTTCTACCTGGAATGCCAAAGATTATTTCACTGGGCATCCTACTACATTAGAACTTCCTCTCTATGCTTTGACGGACCAGCCCCATGTCACATCCCACGAACCATTGCCAGGAGACCCTGGAAGGCCTGTCTTACTTCAGTAGTCCTGTTCCAGGCTGGCCTGGGGATGATGAGAGGCATTTCTGGCCTGAGATGCCTCAGGTAAAAGCTTGGTGGAGAAAGTTGGTGGGATCCATGTAAAGGGTCTGTTCTGAGTGGCTATAGATTTCAGGTGTGATAAGGCGTCTTTGCTTGCTTTCAGATCTCCACTACAAACTAATCATGAACGAGAAGCCTCAGAAAAAAGGTAGGACTCAGCTGTTTGCTGGGAACCACCACTCATGCCCATGTGTCAGCACCGAGCCCTGCATGCTAACTCAGGGGGACCAGTATGGGCCACTTGGACAGATGCCATTTTCCCCAGCCACAGCTGGTTTGCTGGCTCTCAGCACTAAAGGCATGAGGAGTGGGAACTGTGCAGTAGGAACAGTAGGGAGGCTGCTGAGCGAACTCCTGAAACTGGAGCAGCCCTGTGGCAGCCCCCATCCCCTGACCCTCATTACCCTGGTAGGTCAGTGGCTGCTGTGATGCCTGCCCCTGGATCCCTAGCCCGAACCACTGATTCCTTACACTTGAGTGAGGTGTCTCTCAGCACACTCCCTTTGGGGACTCCTTCCTGCCATGTCCACAGCAACCATAGGGGCCTGAGAACTAGCCAGTATCCAGAGCACTTCCTCCTGCCCACAGTGGCTTGCTTTTCTTGTTGGTCCTCCAACATAGCACGCCCAAGGACACATCAACTGAGTTCCTAGGTTCTCTCCCCTAGTAAACTTTCAGGTCATTTGGTAATCTGATTGTTAAAGATGTCTGCTTGGAAATAAATATCCCAGTCCTGGCATGCCCAGGCTTTCTCTTCATGAAGACATGCAGGGAACAGGAGGGCTCTTCAGCAGGGCTTCACCTGTTTTGAGCCCAGTGCAGCCCAAGCTGGTGGCCCTGGCAGGACGTAGAGGTGGAAATAGAGGCCATGCTTGATCCAAGACCTACCTTAGGGCCTACTGCTTCTTTGGTCACAGGGACCTTTTCTTGGCAGCTGGCCTCTGCAGAAGCCTGGGGTGACTGCTCCTGTGGGGGCTCACCTAGGTGTATAACTACCATAAGGAGGTGTGGGACACAGCCCTGCCAGGTTTGGGGAGGCCCTGCTTGAGCACAAAGGGCCAGGTAGTGGGCAGAAGCAGGTTCTCTGGCTGAGCCCTGCGTCTTCCTCACAGGCAGTCTCTCTACATCCAGTCTTCAGTCCAACAAGTCTGCCTCCAACTCCACAGCATCCGGTGAGCCAGGGCCCCAGGCTGGACAGTCAGTGGGACATGCTGCCTAGAGATTTGAAAATCCTTCTCTTTGGCAAAGGGGGCAGCCCCAATATCCTATGTACAGAAACACCCAGTAAAAGGGTCTGTGGGGCAGGAGTCCTTGAGGGGAGGCTCCCTAGAAGGACGAAGCCTGACTGTAGCAGGCCCACCCTTTGGGGTAGTGAGTAGCTATGTCATTAACAGAGGAACCCAAGTACCCAGTCTGTTTCCTTCTGGGAGAGTGGTCTGTGCTCCACCCATAGCCCCCAGCCCCTGCCCAGACAAAATACAGAGCCTCTTCTTACATTCACCTCCTATAGGAGGCTAGCCAGCTTCATAGCAGTAGTCCTGGGTGACCAGCGGGCCTTGGAAAATGAACGCACACAGGCCAGATCGCAGGCCTCTAGTTTCTTCTACCCCAAAACGGAAGCCAGCGTCCTCCACCGTGACTAACCTGGCACGTTCAGCAGGCGCTACCACAGGCTTCACCCTCCAAACTTTATTCCTTCCCTCTCTTCAGGACAGCGGAGGAAACTGATGCAGGGTCAGGGCTACTTGGGTCCATTGTTGATCCTAGAGAATGGGTCAGTGGCTTCTAAGGCCTTTTGTGATGGCCCTGTTGGTGTGCCCTGCAGCCAACTCTCAAGGCAAGACCAGGCCCCAGCCCAGCTCCTTCAAGAAGCAAGAGCTGAAGTCTGACGCCCTCCAAAAGACAGAGCTGGAAGAGCAGTCACTCAGCAGTGCTGCCCTGTTCCACAGCAGCAAGCTGGACAGAGCCTCTGGGGTGCAGGGACAGGCCAAGTAAGGCCTGCTTGCACCCGAGGACCAGGCCTGCACCCCATGGGCCCCAAGCTTACCCTTAATAGGTTTCCACCCTGGGACCAGCATCTCCACAGACCTGTGACTCCATTTTGATGACAGTAGGCTTCAGGGAGCAGGCAGCTGCCAGGTTGTTGTTCTACTGGCTACTACTTTCTTCTCTCCCCTGGGGGTCCTGCAGAGACCCCTGGTTGACCTCACCTACAGGGGACCAGTGGAAACCCCTAAATTGCTATTTTCTCAAAGAGACAGAAAGTGATTTGGCCTAATTAGTTTGCCAGGAGGGAGGGTGGAGTCCCCGGGGACAAGGGTCTTGATATGCAGACCTGGCTGTCCTGGAACTTACCCTGTAGGCCTTTCTCTGCCTCCCCCTCCTGTGTATGAGGATTACAGGTGTGAACCACCACACCTGGCTGTCAAGTCTGTTTTTACCAAGAACACTGAATGGGATTCCTGTGCCTGACAAGACTGGAACTGGCATCTGTCTGATCAGTCTGCCTTTGGGAGACATGGGTTAGCAGAGCAAGAGCCAACCCAGGGACCCCAGTTTTCTCAATAGTCAGGCTCTGCCTTCTCTGAAGCCCCAATTCCTGGAACTACTATGGGCAAGAAACATGTGGGGTGAGGTAACCTGGCAGCTAGCTAGTTGCCCCCTCAACAAGGCACAGACCTGGGTCACAGTTGGCTCCAGAGCACCCTGGCTAATGGCCAATGGAGCTGGGCCTCTTCCACACTGGCAGGCAGGGAGGCTGGGGGTGGGTGGCTAGACCATTCCCACAGGTCGCCTCTGTGCTGCTGTAATGTTTCAGAGACGAGGATGCAGAGGCTTCCGATTCAGGGGCCACGTTGGTGGGGGGCAGCCATGGCAGGCAAGGAACAGGGATGGCCCCCGTACTGAGCCTGCCCCCGTGCCTGCGCAAGCCCACCACAATGCAGCAGTGTGAGGTGGTCATCCGTCAGCTGTGGAACGCCAACCTCCTGCAGGCTCAGGAGGTGAGGCCCTGGGCAGGCATATGACCCTGCATGCCAGTGGCACAGGGCACTGTACCCACCATGCCTCTCCCTGCTTTTCAGCTACAGCACCTCAAGTCACTCCTGGAAGGGAACCAAAGGCCCAAAGCTGCAGCTGAGGAGGCTGGGCTGGGCTCTCCAAAGTGAGTGCCTTGTACCCGGCGCCCTGCCCCAGCCCAGAGGAGGTGTGGGCATCATGGCTAACTTTCTTTCCCAGGGACCAGGAGTCCATGCAGTTTCCCAAGGTCACCGCCAAAGGCCTCTCTAAGAAGTGGTAAGTCCCAGGCACAGGAAGTGGGCGCCCCCAGGGACAGGAGGGCAGGCCCTGCTCCTAGCCCAGCCACTGGTTCAGGGTACCCTGAGGCAGCTGGCAGATGCCTGCCCTGACCATCCTTTCCTCCACCCAGCCTAATTCTGAGCCCAGTGCCCGTGACGGAGCGTTCCATCCTGCCTGCACTGAAACAAAGCCTGAAAACCAACTTTGCTGAGCGGCAGAAAAGGCTGCAAGTAGTGCAGAGCCGGCGGCTGCATCGCTCCGTGCTGCTGAGCCGGCGCCCTGGGGGCCGGCCACCCTCTTTTGATAGTGGTTCACATCAGCCCTACTTTTCAGCCACACGAAATTCCAAGACAGACAGAACCCATGATAGATAAAGTACTTGCTCTCAGAATTGAGGAATCTGTCTATTTTCTCTATTATTTTACTATTCCTGCATCCATGCAAAAACACATTACAAAATGTTACTCTCCTACTACCCATTGACTGAAAATAAAATTGTTTCTCCAAGTCCTAAGCTTCTTTCCTCACAACTCTCAGGTGCCTCCTAAGCCAAGTGTCCCTGCTGCTCTGGAAGTGCCTGCCCTATGTAGGCAGCCAGAACTGGCACATCCTAGGGGTGCTGAGCACCAGCAGTCTCACGGCATTCTGGGGCCAGCTGGCTTCCTTCCTTGACTGGCCTGCGGACTGCCTTCTAGGTACATGGGCATGACTGAGAACACTGTCCTGGCTGCCTGGACACCAGTCATGCTGGGCTCACCTGCTTGAGGGAAAACTGTCTTCTCCAGATCACACTCTACCCCAGGCCAGCAGCTGCCACCCGGAAGTGGCCAGCCTGCACCTACTCCTATCCAGCATCAGAGACCTCACCCCTCTACTACCCACCCTTGCATTAATCTCAGTAAACTAGACCAGGGCCTGAATCAGGAGGCGATGTCAGGAAGTAGATGAGGTCCAAGGTTCCTAAGTTGGACAGTACCCCTGCCAGTGGGCCCAAACTCACAAAAGGTAGACACAATAAACTCCTGACAAACACAGGAATAATAAATTTATTATAAGAATCATATAACAGAGTAGTGCACATATAAAAAGAGGAAATTTCTTTTCACCAGAGCGGTACCCATTACGGCCCAGCGTGGCAAGTGCCTTAGGGTAGCGTTCTGAAGGAAGCCCATGCTCCTGGTGGCGGTACAGAGAATAAGAAGACGGTGTTCTGAGGCTGTGGGTCCCAATGACAGTATCTGACCAGCCACTCATGTCTCACATAGCACTGACAAAGGCCCTTCACCCAAGAGTGGCACAGGAATGTCAGGGGCAGCCCCCGCCCCAGCTGGTCCTTCTCACAGCACTGAGGAGATCCATGAAGCTGAGGTCCTGCTAGCAGCAGAGAACCTGCCGCCGCCGCTGCCTTACTGGCCTTTCCTTCAAACTGAAACCTGGGCCCTAGATTCAGAAGTATTCATAATGAGGTGTCCATGTACCTTATAAGGCACAACCTGAACCCCACACTGTGACTGGAGAGCTGTGTGTATAGTGAGAGTTTCCTATGTCCTTGACATTCTCCAGACACAAGTACAGTGTACTGTGACACAGAGACACTTAGATGGGACCTGAGTTCTCATGCTGCTGAGTGGACACGGAGCCCAGGAAGGCTGTAGAAAGCATGGCTGTAGGAAGTGTTGGGCCTGACTTCTGGAAGAAACCAATGAAAGGTCTTCCTGGGAACATCCCAGACCCTCATGCAGCCAGCTCCACAGCTCTCTGGTCAATACTGCACAAGCATGGGGAAACATCTGACAGTCCCGAGACAGAAGGAGAAGCAGGAAAGCTAGCCTAAGCCAGACCCTCTAGGAAGCCAACCCCCAGTAACATATGGTAGGTGGTGTGAACTCCACAGCAGGGACTGCTGCTGGTCCTCAAGTTCAGTTTGCTACGCAGCGGAGAGGCAGGCCTGGTGGATGCTCTGCGCCCAGGTGTTGAGCAGGGCTGTGACAGAGTGTTTGTCGGGAAGCTGCAGCAGCCTGGAGGTCATGCACCGGTGCACTGACTGCAGAAAGGGGTTGGCATCTGCAACATAGCAGCAATCATGAGTGCCGGGCCTGGCAAGGCAGCAGCCCCTGAGCCAGCTCTTGCGTCACTTCCGGGAAGGGGTACCATCCCTTAGGCTCCTGAGCTAAGAACTGGAATTTGTATGGAGCCCCAGACAGTCCCTGCTGTGTGCCAGCAGAGCCTTAGGAATTCCAAACAAGGGTCTCTCTTTGGAGCCCGATCACACAGACAGAGCTACATGAAGTGCTGCTGGTGGCCCTGGGTCACCTTGTAGAACTCCAAAGGAGTATCATGAACTTCACTGCTCTCCCCCACTTGACAGGTATCCTGAAACTGTTGGCAAGGGGCAAAGGACATAGTGGCCCTTCTTTCTCCAGGCAACTGCGGTCCAGCCTACCCTGCCTACTGGGGAGATGGGAGGTAGCTTTCTGCTGTATAGGGACCCTGGATCCCCAGCGACAATCCTGCCTGTCTTGGGTCTCCAGTGGTTTTTCTAGGTTCACCCACCATACTGCCACTGACGGTCAATCCACATTGGGCTCTGAGCAGGGTAGTCAGCAGGCACACTGAGCTCCAGAGGTGGCACACTAGGGAGGTCCTTGTCATCTGTAACAAAAACTGCACATGTGACCCAGCTGACAGCCTAGCGAGCACCAGTACAACCCTGCTCACCTCACCCCTGCTTCTGAGGAGAAGGATGAACGCACGGACTCAGGTGCTGGGGGATCTGGGGAGCTGGGACAGGGAATGAGAGGTGAGGCTAGAGCTGCAGTGTGGCAGGCCATGTGAGCATGTGTGTAGCTTGAAGGCCCTGGAGACTGGCCTGACATGGATGGCAAACCACCACACCCACTCCCCTGGACACTCACCCAGCTTGCAGATCAGGTGGACAGCGCCGTTGTTGCTACAGTGAGAAGGGTCCAAGTTCACCAGGAACTTGGGGTCCAACCTGGCCACTTCACCTTGCAGCACATTGGGGATGCTCTGCCGCTCGTCCTCCTCAAATTTGCGCTTCCGGGAACATACCACTGGGGACCTGGAGGAGGGGACTAAAGTGATTATGCAGATGCCACACAGCCTCTGGCCTGCTGCTTATCACCAGGCCCAACCTGGGTATACATACACAATAGGTGGGCCATGGATGGCCATCATGGCTGGCACGAATGTGCGGTACAGGGAATGGTTGAAGACAGGTGAACGGATGTTGGCCAGGACTGCATCTAGGAGTGGCTGGCACAGGTCCTGCTGTTTGGTTGGAAGAACTGGAGGTGGTGGGGGTGTGGGCTAGAGACAAAACAGAAAGGGTCAGTGGCCTGGGCTCAAAGCCTCATCATTTTGAGGAGTCTTCCAGACCCCAGGGTCCTCTACAGTCTCTACCAGACAGAGTGCAGACAATGGCAGCTGATTCTGAACGCATTCCAGCCTGCAGCCTCATTCCCACCCCAGTGCCCGCATCCTCAGGGCAGGACCTGAACAGAACTAGCAAACGCAGGGGGCAGAAGGAAGGATTGGGCGCTGAGAGTGACTTCTGCCCTCCTCGCTCTCCTGGGTAGAATTTTCAGGTGAGGTCGGGTTCCTTGAGAGCCCTGACTTCTGACCCTTGGGCTCCACTCACCACCGCCATGTCATTCTTGAGTTTCTCCAGGGCAATCTCACACTTCTGCAAGGTCTTCAGGGGACACCTAAGGAGAGGACACATGATCTGATACTCTGCTGGGGGCTAGGTCAGGCAGCCTTGGGGCCTTAGCCACTGGGAGCCATCACAGGACTCCCAGCCCACTAGCGTCTTCCAGAACAGACCCAGCAGGACTCAGGCTCATCCAGGCCAGCTCTTGCGCAATCTTGGCCCTGTGGCTTGAAGGGCTCTAACCTAAGAGGGCCTGGAGGGCTGCGTAGCTCCAGCAGGCCTCACCCAGCAGTGACTGCTCGAAAACTGGGAGAGTCCTCCTCAAGTCTGGCAGGGCTGTGACCCTCAGTCGGTGTGCAGACACACTCATGGACACCGTAGTCCTCAACACTGCATTAACTGTACCCTATGGATGGTGGGTACAGGCAGTGGAAGCCTGGCAGCCCAATGTCATCCACGAGCTTCTGATAGGCCTCATTTGGGTTCACCTTTACAATTAGTGCACACAGCTGCAGCTCGGCCCACAGCACACAGGGTGAGACACAGCAGTCTGCCAAAGGCCACCGGCATGTTAGGAAGACTCCATAGGCAGACTCAGCTGTCATGAGTAGCTGAAGGTGGGGCCACTACAAACCAGGACCTAGCATAGTGTCCCATGAACCAGGCTATGACAGCCATAGGAGGAAGTGTGAGGCCCACAAAGCCTTGGGCAGGGTTGAAGCTTCAGCACACACCTACTTGCTTCAGGAATGGTCCACAGAGCTGCTGAACCCTTTGTTAAGCCCACACGGTCACCAAGTCTTGGGGACTCTGTGAGCTGTGGTACAGCACAGTCCCCCCCAAAGTCCTAGAGCAGTGCTCACCGCTTAGAGGGGTCAGTGAGAATGTCCAGCAGGCTCTTCATCTTACTGAGGTCCTTTTTTCTGTCTAGGAAAGAAAGGGTACACTAAGAAACAGGCCCTGTATGTCCTGGCCCCGTCCTGGTATGGGCCAGCCTACCTTCATTCTTGTCGATCTTGTTGATCATGCGTCGCAGGGGCTCAATGTACTTGGACAACTGCTTCAGCTTGTCCAGATACTGTTGTTCTTCAGCCTGGCTGGAGCCAGCTGGGCTCATGACAGAGCTGGGGTTCACTGCAAAGGACAGGATGGATAAGATGGATGGTCACAACCTGTGGGCAGGTGTTACAACAGGTCTGAGGGTCCCATGAGACCTTTACACAATTTGAGACCTTGGGAGGGGAAGGGGTATTAGGCACTTTGTAGAGCTGTCCACCCAGCCCAGGCCCAACTTACCAGGGGTGTTTAAAGGTCCAGGGGAGGGGACGCTGAAGTTCTGTGGGGTGCGTGCTGTCACTGGGCTCTGAGAAGGCTGTGGTGAGGGGCTAGGCAGGAAGCTGCTGGGGGATGGGGCAGGGCCGGAGCTGCAGCCAAGTGAATAAAAGCAGGTCTGAGCCCAGAACACCATGCCACTCAACTCTGAGGTCAAAAGGGGTGAAGGGAGGATGGGGCACATGTGCACCCCCACCAGCCTACCTGACATTGGAGTTGGGCTGTGAGCCAGGTTGCGGGGAGGGCTGTGGAGGAGGGGGCATCGACTGTGGGGTCTGCACCTGCTGGCCCGGTGATGGTGAGGACAGCATGGTGAGGTTGCTTTGGCTGACCTGGAAGTGGAGAGACTTAGCCAGCTCCATGCTATACACACACCCTGCCCAAAGCACCCACTGGTCCAACCTCTCATCTTATACACCCTTTTTTTTTTTTCTTCAAGATGCTATACACATCTTGTATAGCCAGGCACAAGCCAGGCACAGAGCCAGGCACAAGCCCCACCTCTGGGTGCATACAGCACATGGTATCCAAGAGGGTGGAAGAAGGCCAGGTAAGCAGCCTGGCTCCTTGGAGGAGGCCCATGAGGATTTCAGTTTCTGGGCTGGCATAGCTGTGGTAATGACTTGTTTCTCAAGCATTTGTGTGTAAGGAGGGAGCCTAGAAAGGCCTTTTGCTCGGCCTAAGCTAGGGAACACTTCTCTGAGGATCAGTAAAGGTGGTGGTTCTTTGCTAGCCTATGGAGACAGTCTTCCTGTCTGACTCTAGCTCCAAGGACAAGGTCTTGCACCAAGTGGCTTTGTGACTTGTGCAGATGCTGCTGCCTCACCCCATCTAACTGGGGTGAGATGGATGGCCAAGGAGACATATGCCTATCTGTAAGTGGTACTACACTGACTCCACAGCACCTCTGGCTAGCCTGGCAGAGCCCACCTGAAGGGATGAGTATCAGAGGCCTGGCTCTGCCCACAAAGTGGCTGCCCTTTGCTGTCAGTGCACATTCGGACAACAGACACAGGGCTGACTGCGCCACCGCTAGCACAGGGCCACTGACTTTATCTAACAACTCCAGGGACTGAAAGCACAGAACCAGGCAAAGGGAACAGGATGTACCTGCCCCCACTTTTCAGCAGAGAGGCGTAGGAAGGCCGTTCTAGATGGAGAGACAGCTGCCCATTGGTCTCTTGCTATCCTGGGACACCCTGGAGGCCATACCAACTCAAAAGGCCCCAAGCATCCAAGGAAGCACTTCTTATACCACAGTCGATCACTGTGCACAAGCATCCCCCACAGCCTGCTTCTTGTGGCTCACAGGCCAGCCAGTCTGTAAACCAAGTCAATCAGGTGCCTCTCCCAGCTTACTAGACACTGATGCCCAAGTGGGGCCATACCGCCACATCTTCCCACACCATCTCTGCCACATCATGGAGATTATTGGGCAAAGATTACTTCCTATGAGTAGGTTCTTAGCCTCTCAAATTGGGAATAGGCGCAGATCCAACAAGGAAAATGATACCTGCACTTCTCACTTGCTCACCCCATACTGGCCAGGCCAAGGACGACATGGGGCCTGGCATGGGAGCCAGCTTGGCCATCTGAGAACCGCTGACTAAGCTCTCAGACCCAAGTTTAGTTTCTAGAGACCTCCTGGAGTAGCTCACAACCATCTATAATTCCAGCTCGAGGACCCAATGCTGCCTTCTAGTTCTGTGGGCATTGCCCTCACATGCACAAACCCCACAGAGAAGCACACACAAAAATACAGAGTTAAAATCTCAAAGAAAAAATAAAAAGGCCCAGACAATGATGTCACTCTGACCAAGAAACCCCTGCACAGTGGGGAGCAGGAGAGCAAAGTCAGGCATCTGGCTGCTGGGCAGTCACATCAGTCTTCCTCTGAGCAGAGATTCACCCTGACTTAAGGAGGTCAGAGCTGAGCTGGGCAGACAACATGCAGGAATCGCTAGAGCATCCAGCACAGCTGTGATGCTAGATGCATTAGGAATCCATGGATACCAGGGCAGGCACATGTCACCCAGACCATAAAACCTGCTTGGAATCAACCCATGTCCTATCAAAGTCCGAGAACCACACAGTTCCAGGAAGACTACAAAGGGTACAAAAAAAGGCTGTAGTTCAAGTCCTGCCCTATTGGCTTGGGCTTCCATATATGTTCCCAAGAAAACCTGAAATCTCTTTCCTTTCTCTGTGCCAACTGCCTACCCACACTTGATACTGCTGCAGAGGCTATTCCTGGTAGCTGTTTCTTGGCTGGACTTTAAAGTCTAAAACTCAGGCATACTACATGGGACAGTTAGGCACCCTGAGGGTCACAGGATTGAACAGGGCTACAAAGTAGGAAATCTCACAGTTCATGTTCTACCTTAACACTCACACTTGGGCACAGGACACACACTTTGACACCCTCTGCCTTTGTTGATGACATAGCAGAGATCAAAGCAGCTGCCCCAAGACAAGAGGCAGTGGTCTAAGACATGAAGGAACAATAATCAGAGGAGCATAGGGAATAGAGAAGCCTCCAACATAGGTAAAACCTGCAGGGCCCAGCCAAAGGGTCATGCCTTTGGGGACAAGAGGGTCTCTTCCCTGTTGGGAAGCCTGGACATCAGTGTCATGATTCTCTTCCCCTAACATAGTCTAGAAACTTTCTCTTCAAGGCATCGAAGTCCAGGCTGCACCCAGCCTATGTACACATGAGACTCTTCCAGACCCACCTAAGCAACATGTGCTCCAGCAAATCTCACCAGTGTTTCACCAGGTCTGGGACTTCCAGGAGACGTAGTATGGGGTCAGCCTGGATTCTTTGGCTGCCCCAGGCCAGGACAGCTGGCAGACCCCAGAGGATGGGAGGCAGGGAAAGATTTCTAACAGGAAGGAAAACAAACCAAGGATACCCTTTTACCTCCATGATCTGGAAACTCTAGCCCCCTAGAACCTTCTAGGAGTCATTGTCAAATTGCTCAAGTCTTAGTCATCACAGATACCCCTGGTACAAAGGAGCAGCCCAAAAAGCATCTCTAGCCAGAAGTGACCTAGCAAGGAGAAAAGATGTGGGGAAGAACCAGAGGGGCACTGCTGTTCTTGGGGCTTCTGCTATCAGGGAAGGGGCGGGCAATGGGACATGGGCACATTCTTAGCCCAGGCATGGGCACGTCACTGGAGCAAACAAAAGTCAGAGTGGCACCCGAGGAAGAGCTTCTGATAGACCCTTGTACACCATTTGTCACTTGCATGTTATAGGCAGGAACATGGCAACCAGCAAGGTGACTTGCCAGGCTCTGCAAACACGGGGCTTCAGCAATGGTGACAGTCTGCTAGGTAGATCATGTGGGAACTATATAGCACGATTGGGTCAGAAGGAAGAATCTTGGTAGACTGACAAAAAACAAAAACAAAAACAGGAGGCCCAGAGGAACCACAGCTGGGGATGGGGGTCAATTCAAAGGGCCGCAGAGAACCTTGAGACAGGCTGGCACTGTGATTCTGCTCCTTTCTGGATCCTATACCTGCCTAGCACTTAAAACTACCCTTGCTCCTGACCCAGTACTGAACATGAACATGGAGTCCCACTCCAGAGAACCAAGGAGCTCTTGTCATGGTCCGCTTGCTTACATTCACCATGTTTCACAGACAGGCAATGAGGATGCTGCTGTCCTGGCCCTGGTGATGACGGGAAGGAAGGGCTGAAATCAGACAGCTATACTGTATGGCGGAAGGCAGCCTGCAGCCTTTTCTCCACTGACTCTCTCTTAAATACTCTCCGGGCCTTTATCCTCTGAGAGGCAAGCAAAAATGAATGTGCTTGATAAAAATAAATAAATAAATAAAAATCAAACCAGCTGGGCCATGGTGGCACACACCTTTAATCCCAGCACTTGGGAGGCAGAGTCAGGAAGATCTCTGAGTTCGAGGCCAGCTACAGAGTGAGTTCCAGTACACAGAGAAACCCTGTCTCAAAATACCAGTAAAATAAAATAAAATAAAAAATCAAAGCAAAGCAAAGCACAACCTTGTCTTAGATGCTCTGGCCACATTGTACTGCTCCAGACTCCTACAACTGATGCATTTGTCTCCGGCACACTAGCCCATAGCTGCATGGACATGTCCCCACCTGCCAGCACCTCACGGGACAATCAATAACTCTGAGTGGACTTAAGCTAGTATCTACCAGTGATGGCTCAGTCAATCAAGCCACAGTGTTCTATGAAAGTGGCCCAAACTTTTTCAAGTACCTTTTATCTATTTTTATTTATTTTTCTCTCTTTCCTTTCCTTCAACAAACTTCCTTGCCTTCTGGGTGTAGGAAGCCCTATAGATCCTAAGAACCACGCAGTTCACAGTAGGAGACAGAGGCAGGATAAGGCCCAGGCCAGAACCTAGTCCAAGAGATGCACAGACAGGAGAGAGAGAGCAAAGCTATCAGAGCAGCAACAAAAGCAGGGCTAAGGGTTCCTAGGAGAGTCTACTGACAGGACTTGAGCCCTGATCCTCAACACGCTACCTCCTGCTCCTTCCCACTTGTAACAGGAGCTAAATGCTTGAACTGACCTGCCACAGTGAGAGCTAATGTGATTCTACACAAGAAGAACCTCGCTCAAAATCTGGCATACATCACACCCTTGAAATGTTGGGGACCTTTAGTTTCCACAGAGTCTTCTGTTACATCATCTATCTCCACAACTCCACAATGCACACTGAGCAAGAGCCTCTGCACCTCTAAAGGAAACTATACAACTGTTCCATGTCTGACGATGCAGTTCCTGCATGTGAGCCCTCAGGCAAGGCAGGAACTCCATCTGCTAGAATTATAGATACATTTTCCTTTGTAGGAAAGGGAATTCTAAAGTTCTTTCAAGTATCAGGTTTCCTACAATAAATTCACTCAAAAGAAAAGTCCTGTGATGAAGGCACATTCATGGCACTCTACTCTCATGATCTTCATGCAATGCCTGACACATGGAATGCCGTACACAACGGGACACACAGGTGGGGGTACGTGTGTATAGCCTATGTCCATGAAATCATCAAGTGCACAGAGTGCAGTCTACTAGGTTTCTATGTGGCAATGACTCCTCCCATCTAACTCTATAATATTCTGGACCAGCAAAACGTTTGCCCACGATGGCTGTCCACAGTGATCTGGACCACACAACTCAATGTCAGTGAGTGCTTAAAATGTGACCGGCACTATTGAGGATCTGGGTGCTTGGTGAAAACCTAACAGCCGCACATACTGCCACAGCACTGCACAGCAGAGCCCTAGGAAGCCATACTGTCTGTCTTCTTTTGAAATCACATCTCATGTAGCTCAGGCTGGCTTCAAACTCATGCCAAGAGTTCCAGAAATACCGCCAGACAGACTCAGTTGTATACATGTAGCTTGGTAATCAAACACAGGGCCTTGTGCATGCTAAGCAAGTCCTCTGCCAACTTGACTGCATCCCCAGCCCATGTCTTCTGTTTTACTTTACCATGAAAATAAAAGCAGTATGCCTATTGTAAAGAAAACACCCCTCAAGAGAATCAGCATGGGCTGAGCACGCTGAGACATGCCTGTAGTCCCAGTACTTGAAAGGCATAGGCAAAGGCAGGCAGATCTCTGAATTCGAGGTCAGAGTAGGTCCCAGGACAGCCAGGGCAACACAGAGGCATCTAGTAGGTAACTACACAGGCTCCCTGCCTGTCAGAGGCACCTAGTAGGCAACTACACAGGCTGCCTGTCTTGAAAGAAAGGAAGGAAGAAAGGAAGACCAGTAGAGCTTGGCCTCAAACCAAGTTTACCACTTGTTTCACTGCTCTGAAAGCCACCATGAAGGAAGTCACGGACAATGAAAGAAGGTGTACTTCATGAAGGGGCTCAGAGGAAGCCCAAGCTTCCTGGCTGAGCCCTATACGAAGCCCAATCCGTAAATACCTGTGCTGTGGGCTGTCTGCCCAAAGAGATGGAGCTTGACGGGCCAGCAGACATGGCGGAGGTGGGCGGGAACCGGGCTCTTACGTGCATCCCGCCTTGGACCAAGGCTTCAGCAATCATCTTTGAGGACAGAGGGACAACAGACAAGATAATTGCAACAAGAACTGCAGTGCATGGTTGGTGCGGGTGTGTGCAGCCTCATGGAGTGGGCCAGAGGTGAGACCCCTTCAAAGGACCCAGATGTATGGTGGTGCTCAAGGACACGGTCATGCACACACCTCTAAGCTCAGGGAAGCACCAGAAGTGGAGCGGTACCGAGAATGTAAGCAGATTTCTATTCTACTAGCCAGTCTGTGATGGTTGTCCTGGACACACCTTTGAACTGTAGGCAGCACAGTTCCTGGGGAGTCAGAGCCAGACTGCTCAGGTGGCAGTCTAGGGAGACCAAGTTTTTGGGATAAACTTGGAAAGAGGACGTGTCAGTCAGGCTTGCAAAGAGCAAAGTCAAAGTCACTGAAGCATAATCTTGCTCAGCACAGCATTCTCTTAGAAGTGCACCTGGAGCCCAATGCACACCGATCTCTCTGGCCTCCTGGGGATGCTGATTCTGGACTTGTGGAGGAATAAGGGAGGGGTGGCAGGAGAGCCTAGGGTTCTCCCACAGAGCTTCCTCACTAATTAATGATGAAGGGCTCTCCACAGGGACATAAAAACATCTGCAGAGCCAAGTCAGCAGCTTTAAGACCAACAGAGAACTTTCCTTGGGTCAACTTCTGTTTCTTAATTCACACAGCCAGCCAAAGGGAGGCTATCAATGTCGTGGCTTTGGAGCTGGCTGTCCTTACTCTGTGTTCTGAGGTACAGGCAGAGTCCAACCTAACTCCTGGAAAGCAAGGCCTACATGCACTCAACATGTCACAAACTAGAACAAAATAACACATTCTGGCACAGAAAGTAGGACCTTGCCACCAAAACAAAACAAAACAAAGCAAACCCAGTAGCAGATGTGAGAGTATCACTTCAGCATAGGAGTTAAGAGATAGCAGGAGCAATGTGGTGAGATCCCACTTCAAAAAACCAAACCATTTAATCCCAGGAAGCTCTAAGCTGAGCTACCAGAGCAGGATGGTATTGTAGATGATGCAGTCTGTGCACCAACGGAGCTAAAGACAAGGCTCCAGGCCAGGTCTAGGGGCCTGCAGCATCACACACAGTTCATGGTCACACAGGAGGTGCATGCTGCAAGCACCACAGAAGATCCCAAAGAGAACATCTTAAGAGCCAAGAAAGGTAGAACCCTCACCATTCCTGCAGTCAGCCAAACAAACCTGCTGGTCCTGATGGTGGCTGTCAAACCAGGGGTGCTGTCCCAAACAGCCCATTCCCCAACAGGTCACTGGCAGGCACAAAGGGGGCTAGATGTTCGAGGGCCCTCTGCCTACACTGGGGGAGGAGGAGATAAAGGGAATTGATTTCAGGGTTCTTGATAGGATGGGGAGATCACTTAGGGAGGTCCGTTCACAACCAGAGGCTGCAGTGCCATCTACAGCACTCCTTCCAAATGACAGGACATCCACTGTGATGTGAGAGATGCCAGCTTCTCTCCGGAAACAGGAAAAGCCACAGGAAGGAAGCATGATAGACCCTCTGGCTGGTTTTCTTTTTTAAATTTATTTATTTATTTTTAATATTTTAAAGATTTATTGTATGAGTTTTGTCTACATGTATATATGTGCACCATGTACATGCCTAGTACCTGCAGAGGTATGTCATTCCCTGAAACTGGAGTTACAGATGGTTGTGAGCCACCATGTGGGTGCTGGGAACTGAACCCATATCTTCAGGAGGAGCAACAAGTGTTCTTAACATCCAAGCTGTCTCTCCAACTCTATCTAGTTTACTTTTTAAGGTTTTTTTTTTAATAACCTGTGTATAAATATTTAGTCTGCATGTATGTCTGTGCAACCATGAACATGCAGTATCCTTGGAGGCCGGAAGTTAGTTATACATGGCTGTGAACTACCACATGGATCCTGGGAACAGAACCCAGGTCCTGAACACCAGGTCCTTAACAACAGTCAGTACTTTTAAGCACCATACAGTCTCTCCAGGCCCTAACCAGTTTTTCTTTCCTTTTTTCTTTTTCTTTCTTTCTTTTTTTTTTTTTTCAAGATAAGGTTTCTCTGTGTAACAGTCCTACCTGTCCTGGAACTCCCTCTGTAGACCAGGCTGGCCTCGAACTCACAGAGATCTGCCTCCTGAGTGCTGGGATTAAAGGCGTGTGCCATCACTGCCCAGCCTGACTGGTTTTCTTTATGTAGAACTTCTGACAAGGAAAGCTCATTTTCTTCCAGGCAGAAATCCCAGGGGAAAGCACCACAAATGTTTATAGGATCAGATGAGCAGCTACCAAGTGCAACTTACTGTCAATGAGCCTTTCTCTATTTCTCAATACACTGCTACCTCCGAAGGAATTCTAATGGAGAACAGAGCACCGGCCTGGTTCCTGGCTGTGGCCACTGTACGGGACACTGGGGAGCACAGGGGTGAAGATCAATTCTAAGTTGTCGTGTGTGTGCACATGACAGATGCCTGCCTTGGTTATTGCTCAGTTTTACATTACTAGTCATAGTGTGTGTGCACACTTGGCAGATGTCTGTCTTGGTTATTGCTCAGTTTTACATTACTAGAAGAACAGAGAGTGAAAAGACACATGCACAGGAAAATAAAGACATACTCTGCTTTGGTTTTACTGCTGGAGTCCAGCAAATTCCACTGAAGATGACTTCATCTCTCCCAGCAACATGAGCATCTTCAGATAAGAGAGCCAGATAAAACAAACAGCATAGGGCTACTGATCCTTCCAGAACATTATTTACCCTAGGTGAAGAGCCCTGCCACCATTATCACACAAATCACCATACCTGTCACCCTGGCAGTAGTGCAGGCTCTACCAAGATGTCTCTGCTATCGAGGGCACACTCCAGGAATAAAGCATGGACCGCCTACTTGGGGCCCTCACGTCAACAACTTTCACAGGGCTGGCTGGTGGCCTGTTTTGTGTCATGTGTGTGGTAGTTCGCATGCACAAAGGTACAACGCGTGGTTTCTTCATCCCAACAGAATATATGGGCACCAGGTAGGAAATTCTAATCTGTCTTTGAGCTCCTGATTAATTAGAGAACTGGCCATGGTGTGCAAGAGCCTTCAAAGGCACCCTGTGGTTCAGTCCTGAAAAACTACAAAAAACTGCCATACACTGGCAAAATCACTTCAAGATCCAAAACCAAGGTGATACTCAGAACAGCAGCAGGTACTGCAGTCACTCCTATAAGGCTGCTTCCAATAAGGAGTTTGTGCCTGCAGAGGGTGTTCTCTGGTCTCAAATCGCAAGCCTTAGAAGTTTGGTTGTGGGCTGCGAGTCAGTGGCAGAGCACTTGCTAACCATGCTTAAGATTCCTTTTTTCTGTTGTTTTCTGAGACAAGGTTTTCCTGTGTAGCTCTGGCTGTCTTGGAACTCGTTCTGTAGACCAGTCTGGCCTCAAACTCACAGAGATCCACCTGTCTCTGCCTCCTGCGGGCTGGGATTAACGGCACACATTACTACACTTGGATATTTTTTATTTATTTTTTATTTTTTTGGCTATTTTTTAAAACTGTTTTAAAATTTACTTATTTTTAATTTATGAGCATTAGTGTTTGCCTACATGTAAGTCTTTGTAAGAGTGTTGGATACCCTGAAACTGGAGTTACAGACAGTTGTGAGCTGTCATATGGGTGTTGGGAATTGAACCTGGGTCCTCTGGAAGAGCAGCTGGTACTCTTAACTGCTGAGCCATCTCTTTAGCCCCTAAACAAATGTTTTAAAGCTCATTTCTCAGGCTGGTACTACTGGAAGGTGGTCAAAATTTTAATAAGGACTAAATCCCCTACTTTGGGCCAGTGTGTACAGAAGTGATAGTATTAATAGTCAACTTGATTGTCTTTGAAATCACCAAAGAGATGTTTCCAGTATCCTTGTGAGGGAGTATCTTAATTAGGTTAACAAAGGTGATTCCACTCCCGGGGCTGGGATCCTCAACTACATAAACAAGAGAATGTAATCTGAGCACAAGCATCTATTGCTGTCTGCTTTATGTTTTGTTTACAACCAGGTCTCTCTAAGTGGCCAGAACAGGTCTGGAACTTGCTAAGTAGACCAGGTTGGCCTTGAACTCACAGAAATCTGCCTGCCTCTTTTTCTGGAGGGCTGGGATTGTGCACTACCAGGCCTGGCCGTTCTCTGCCTCTTGACTGCAAGATGCAATGTAGCTGGCTGCCTCATGCTTCCGCAACCTTGACTCTCACCACTATGGACTGGACCTTGAACTGTGAGCCAGAAAAACTCCTCAAATTTCTTTTGTCAGAGTATTTCATTACAGAAACAGGAAAAGTAACTACTATAAGACACGACCACAGAAACTGAACATGGGTCCCTTCCTCTCTTTTATATCCCAGGTGCCTCAGGTGGTAGCTTTGATCTACCACATGCTCCCTGTCATGATACGCTGCCCCAATACAGGCCTCAAAGCAATAGAGTCAAGCAGCTATCAATTGAACTTCCACAAACGTGGAAAACATCATACATAAATTGCACAGGCGCTGAGGATACAGATGATGGAGTGCTACCTAGCATGCAGAAAGCCCTGATTCTACCAATACGCATACATTGAGTGTGGTGGTGCATGCCTGTAATCCAAACACTCACAGGTGGAAGGAGGATGAGAAGTTCAAGGTCAGCCTCAGCTACACAGGAAGTTAAAGGCCAGTCAGGTCTTTCTGAGACCAAGTCCAAATAAATAAATCTGCATAGACAACACAACTGCAGTGAGTGAGAAAACCAGAAACAACACCCACTGCTTCCTGCTCTGTGTGCTCTCTAGTCTCTGCAGTTCTCACTTTGTTAAAGCTCATAGATCAGAGAGCTACAGTCTTTTTCCTGGCACTAAGGCAACCTGGATTTCAAAGAAGCCTCAATTCCAGGACCTTTCCCTTCACGAGGGTGTCTATCATGCCCAAGCAACCCAGCTATGCTCCTCTTCCCAATACTGGCAGAACACAATGAGACCAGTCAACCAGACACACAAAACTGTGAGGCAGTAGGTAAATACAGAAGGTAGGAGGAGGGTAAAGGGGAACAGCAAGACACAGTGATCCAAGAGGAAAAATGGGAAAAGGAGGGGGTATTTAGCAAGGAAGAGGGAGGTAAATACAGGAGATAGGTAGGTAAAAATAATAATAAAGATGTCTGAAAAGACACAGAATCATACTACTAACTATTTATCCAAATAAATAACCTATAAGTTCATTCTCTGTATGGATATACAAATATAAAATAACATGCACACACAAACGCACACTCTGTGCGTGCACACACACATACACACACACACACTCTGCGCGCACACACACAGAGTTTTAATAAACTTTTCCTTCTCATCAGGGCTGACGGTGCTCCATTTAACACCCAAAGGCCACATTAATAAAACCCCAATAGTAGACATGAGAAGCCCTCTTTTGAGTTGTTGACCAGGGCTATCCAAGAGATTACCAATACATAAAGCCTTGTGCTGTTTCCCTAGGCTGCCTCCCCACAGAAGTGGAAAAGAAGCCCTTATTGCTGAAGACACCATGCAGTTCAGAAACAGAGCCCACAGACCCCTAAACTAGAAATGACCCAAATGCCCCCTCTCTGAGGACTAGCTTTCATGACACCAGAAAGCACCAAGCACCTCCTTCCAAAGAGGAAGGCAACCAACAGCCCTACCCAGCTATGATGCCTGTGAACCATATCAACGACCAGCAACCAGCATGGCAGGATAACCCTAAGAGTGCAGTAGTGGCACGCAGACCTGACAGTAACCAACAGCTCTCTAACTGGACGTAAGACAGACTTAACAGGCAGGAACTCAAGTGCAGTCTTCACCCCTCATCAAGAAAACTTCTCTTTGCAACAGGCAGAGACTACTACAGAAAACCATAGCCAACCAAACTGCCGAGCTGTGGAGCTTAGTCCCGCTCAATACTGCTACAAAATTCTCCCTCACCTAAGGCTATGAGGACATTTCAGAAGAGGGGACACAGGCTTATAATAGCCAGAGGACCAGGGAGTTTTCTGTGAGACTGTGTCTCCATGTTAGGAGCAGTGAACCATTCCCCCACCCCCCAGATCCTGAATTTCTTGTAAACAACTTGTTTTCCTCTGCTCTGAGACAGCTTGCAGCTGCTCTGAGCACGAGACCTTCAGGAGTTCCTGATGGCAAGAGAGTGGTTTCTGGTGGGTTTGGCTGGGGCATAGCTATCAGTTAAGGATCTCTATATAAGCAGCTCTGGTACACAATAAAAGGGGAATTCTTGGGACATTCTGGCATCAAAGATGACCTGTGTCCCTGTCTGTGAGTCTTGGTGTGCTACATTTCCTAGTAACACCAGAAGCTACATCCGTAAAGTCTCACCAACATGACTGCCCAAATGTAAGCTGACTAGCTGGGCAGTGGTGGCGCATGCCTTTAATCCCAGCAATCGGGAGGCAGAGGCAGGTGGATCTCTGTGAGTTCGAGGCCAACCTGGTCTACAAGAGCTAGTTCCAGGACAGGCTCCAAAGCTACAGAGAAACCCTGTCTCAAAAAACAAACAAAAAAAAAAACATTAAATGTAAGATGACACCAATGGACATGCCGAAGTGGACAGGGAAAAGCCTATGAGGCCTCAACCCTACATATAGGCAGCTGAAGAAAGCTGGAAGCAGAAGCAGTGATCTTCCCCAGGGAAGAGCACACCAACAGGCTGTCAAGTGCTAAAAACATACATACAAGTAACATTATATGGACTGAACAGGTTATATTTAGAGATGGATATATTTATATACATACATTTGTATATATATGCATATAAGAATTGGTTTTAAAAAGGTTGTAGTTATATTAATCTCAAAAAGAAAGAAAGAAAATCACAGTGGCAGGGCCTGCCTCCTGAGATATCATATTTGGACCAAGAAGTACAGTGCACTAGAAACACAAGGCCCAAAGAAGGTATTGAAGACAGGTGGACGACTTCTTAAAACACTGATAGCATAGTTCTAAAAAACCAACTCCATGAGAAAATAAACCAAAATGGCCATCACCCTCTTAACTACCAGATAAGACAAATGTCTCATTGTCCCAACTGATCAGGAAGGATCTATGCATACCTTAAACTGCACCTGCCACTGATCTCCCGCTGGAGTAGAAGGAACACTAACAGCCAAGCTGTATGCTTTAGGTGACTGCTGACAGCTGGTCACTCCCCACCCCAATTAGCAAGACATGGGCAAGGAACTGAAGGGAGCCGTGAACTCGGCACAGAGGCTTGCTGTGGAGCACCAAGCACACATGGCCACATCTGTTTCTGGTGGCTGACAAGACACCACCAAAGCAAGCAAAAGGAATACACATATCCTCCAGGAAACAATAAGCCAGAAAACAATCTGAACAGGCCCATACCTGTGGCACCTACTGTCCTTTCATGGCTATTTGCTGTCCAGTGTTGAGAGATGGATGAAATGGGACAACTTCCATTTCTTACTCAGTCAAACCAGCACTGCCGAGGTTCATAGCTTCTGAGTCCCAGGTCAATGGAGAGAAGGTCAGAAGGCAACCAGAAAAATGGTTTCCAGGAGCAGGGCAGGTGCTGTGTCACTACTGTGCTGACTCTCAGCCGTACCTCCTCTGCATAGTACATCAAAAGGAAGGAGCCACCAGAAGCCTCAGACACAGTAGGGATGGGAAATGGACTGTATCCCCACAGGTGCTCAGATTCCCCAAGCCACACACAGGAAATCTGTGTTTTCACACAAGGTCACGTGAATCTGAGTGTAGATAGCACAAGAACCCTGGACCCGTTCACTTGGTGCAGCGGTGAGAAAGGTTAACTACACACATCTCCTCGGAACCCCAGCTGGAACCTTGAGGATCAGGAAGGGCTGTCAGTAAGCACTCCTCCACACTGTAAAACGATGTCAAACACATTCGAAAGCTGTCATCTATCTGGACACTGAGCTCACCTGGCTCATGAACATCAGCGCAGGCCTTGGGAGGGACACAGTGTAGTCATGGCACTTCCTATGGACAGGACCCAGCCAGAGCCTTGTCAGAGCTCCTAGCTAAGTCCCAAGTCAGGACTCTCCATGCGCCCATTTGATGGAAGAACTGTGGTCAGCACAAAGACGAAGCAGATCTTTGAGACAAATCACAGGGACCCTAGATGTTTAATTTCTCAGACATCAAGAAAAGCTAGCCCAGGCCTCCTACATGCTGTCACCCCACTGACATCTGATGTGTGGAGAATGTGCATGAACTGTCAGTGATAGGGACACTGTAAACACTTTCCCCACACAGCACAAACCCCTGAGGGCAGCAAGCCCAGGATCTCTCTCCCTGCTCCTGCTGACCACTTTTCTGTCAGTTTCTAAAGAGCTGCCTCCCTCCCAGTCAGCCATGCTCAGAGGCTCCAGTGGAAGCTGAAAGAGGATGAAACCCTGAAGCTTTCCTTTCTACGGCATCCCCTTCAAGTGCTACAGAGGAAGGAAGATGAAGGTATCCGAGGGAACAGAGAAACAGCACACACCAGGCAATGAGCAAGTTCTAGCAAGTACGAAGCAAGGACAGTCATTCTGAGGGCCTCAGGGTATCTGTGTGTGTGTGTGTCCAAGGGATAGAAGATTGATAGACTTTACCATCTTAGCCTCCAATCCAACCAGAACTCTCATCACAGAACTTTATGCAAGCGCAGGCATGCACCACCACCTGCTAGCGACTAAAGAAACCCTGAGCTCCCATGGCCCTCACCTGGACGCCGGGAGCTACCATCTGGGCAGCCTGTGCTGTCTGCACTGCCGCCTGCTGCTGCACCTGGGGCTGCACCTGCTGCACCTGGGGCTGCACCTGCGGCTGCTGGACCACCATCGGAGCACGGACCTTGAAGGAGGAAGGAAAAGGCAACTTGGAACCTGCAGAGAGCTGAGCACCCACCACCTGTGTGGGAGGCGTGAAGAATGGAACTTTCAGAGCTGCTGAGATGGCTGCCTGTTGCCAAGCCTGACGACGTCAGTTTGAGCCCCAGGACCCATGTGGTAGGAGAGAACTGACTCCTGCAAAGTGTCCTCTGACCTCTTCAAGTGTCCACATTTGAACTGTGGCACCACAGGAAACCCGTCCCCCTCCCCCAAAATTTTAAAACAAGAAGCTTCCTCTTGGGATGAGACTGCAAAGACACCGTAAGCGATGAGGCCACCTTACAATCTGTTGCCTGATCACACAGGGTAGAAAGAAATATCCCACACCAGAGACTGCCTATGAGTTGGCAGAGCCAAGTATCACTTCCCCAGTTCTGGCAAGAAACAAGACAGCCCTCCCATGCACACCAACCACAAGCACAAGCTAAGCAACAATTTCCAAAGCTGAGCACACAGCCTGGCCTACTCAGACCGTAAGAGTGACGTGAGCCCAGACTCCATGAAGGAAAGCAGGCTGGCCAGCTGCAGATGGCTTAGCTAGAAAGATGACCTTGGGGGATGGAAGACAGGAAACGCACGTAACTGCGGGACATTACCATGTGGAGAGATACAACTACAAATACAGGGCAGATCCTGCATGGACAGATGCACATTGGGGGCTTCCCCTTAGATCTCCAAGCTACCCGGCCCAATTCTAGTAGGCATCTTGTCAAGGAGTACAAAGTTCTGGTCCCAAAATCATGGTTTCAGGTAATATGTGAGTGACCGAACCTGCAACTCCCAACCCTGCTAGCCGACTTCTTTACCCTGACATTCAAGCTCAGGTGAGATATCTGTCTCGATGTCACTTAATGAATCACAGGTAGAAAAGGCCACAAAACCCAAGGGAGCAGAAAAGATGCTCGAATTGTTTCTTTTCATGGCAACTAGTTTTGGTGACAATGGTCTGTTTTCGGTAAATGCTGTGAGCTTTACTTTATATCGATATGCACAGTGAAGCAGGAAATAATTAAGTTTCATATGAATACTTGTCTAAGAAGTATGGCAATGATGAGGCTAAAAGGACTGGGGCTGGAGCTTGCAGTAGACCATGTTTAGTTTGCATGAAGCTCCCAGGTTCAACCTCCAGCACCAACAGAAAAACAAATCCACAGCTGATGGACAAGGCATATCCCCCCACATGGTGAGATTACCTCCTAATCTAATCGCATGTACCAGACATGCCACAGACACTGCTGAAATCAGCCACATAGTTTAGAAGATGTGACAGCCTGAAGTCTATAAAAACAGCTCTAGGACACCCCCCTCACCTACATGTGCTACGGAGCTAGATAAGAAGACTTGAATAGGAAAGGCTGCCTGAAGCCAGTGCATAAAGGACACACTACCTACACCCACAGGTCTCAGAAACTGCTGGTCACACACAACACCATGAGATGCAGCTGCTATGCCACAAGCCTTGCTCAAAGAGGTACTCACAAATTTCAGCTGTTGTTGGGCAGCATACAGCATTTGTCCAGGGAGGGCTTGTGCTTGTGACACCAAAGGCTGGCTTTGTGACTGTGGTGGGAGTTGTGGTGGTTGGTTCTGAGCAACTGGGGACTGCTGGGCCTGAGGTGGTGGCTGGTGATGCTGTGGATGATGCATCTGTTGCAGCTGCTGGGGTAGGGCCTGAGAAGGGGGAGGCTGTGGCTGCTGCATTGGTGGCTGCTGCATTGGTGGTTGGGCCTGCAAAGCTTGCTGCTGTTGCTGTTGTTGCTGCTGCTGCAGCTGCAATTGTGCCATCCTCTGCAGTTGCTGCTGTTGGATCTGAGAACAAAATAATAACAATCAGTTACGACTCAACAGGCCCTGGAGTGCTAGCCTTGGCCCCACGAAGCTTGGGATAAGTGAAATGGGCACAGCCTTCAGGAAGACTTGCCTGCATGGCCTCTCATAAAGGGAAGGGGAGCATGTCAAATTCAGGACTCAGAACCCTTTAGGCCAACAGTAGTTGTTTTAGACACTAAGAACAAACCAAATTTGTTCTTGTGCCCTGGCCACTAAAGGATGGTTCACAATTAGCATGATTCAAGTGAGACAGGTTCAAGGAAGGTCCAGGAAAAAGTAATGAAGAGTAGATACAGTCCCATAACAGGCAGACTGGAAGTTCAGGCAACTGCAGACGCTTGTACCTCTCCAGACAGGCTCTGTCTCCTAGAGTGGTCAGCAGTGGTCAGCAGTCTGACCACTCATCCTTCATGAGAATGGCTATAAGGAACATAGGCAAGGCTAAAGACATAAAGTCAACATTGGGAAAAGAGATTCCAAAACCAGAGTATGTTAGAAGAATGAGGAAACCTCCTTGGGCTTTCCTCCCTCAACCAACACTTGCTAGGAAAATGGATGTGAACACGTCTAGGCTCTGTTCTGATCAGCAGCACTTCTAGGGTGACATACCGCTGCCCTGCAGGACACCAGCTAACAACTTTGATTCTGCACCCAAACACTAAGAAACAAAACAGGTGTTGTATGTGTCCACGGCGCACAGTAAAGCCAGTCCTGAGGGTGTGAAGAGCAGAACACACATAGAAACACGTAGTTCTTCATCTCACCTGGGCAAAACAGTAGAGCTGGCCCTGGTGGTTGTGAGTGTGGGTGAGTCAGATATGAGGACCTGGAAGCAGGAGAACTGGCCCCCCTCCTTGCTGTAAGCTGCACTGGAGAGCTCGCCCGGGTAGTGATAATGAGGGAACGCTGGCACGCTGACCAACCCAGCTACCACCCAGGACTAGAATCAAGGCTATGAGTTGGTCCAACATCCACTTCATCTATGAGCTGCTGGAGCATGTGAAAGGGATGAACCTACAGATCCAAAACAGCAGGGTCTCCATGACACTGGACAACAACAGGATATCCAAGAGGAGCCCCAGTGAGAGCCCATCATGAGTGGTGTAGCAGAAGCCAGAGGCCTCAAGCCAGACCAAGGACTCCAAAGACTCCTAGCAACAAATACTTGCAAGTAAAGATGAATGGACCAAAGGGTACACTGTGTGATTCAATGGGCCACACCATAGCTTTCACAACAAGAGTCTTCTTTTTTGTTAGTTTGCTATGTTTGGCCTTTGTTTTTTTTCTTTTAAGCATTGCTGGGGGGGGGGTAGGTTGCAAGGGCAGAGTGAGGATGCAAGTGGATGGGAAGATAAGTGGGGTCAGAATGCATGATTTGAAATCCACTCAATATAAGTTAAAAGAATTTTTTTATTTTTTAACATTTATTTATTTATTTATCTATTTATTATAGATACAATAGTCTGTCTGTGTGTATGTCTGAAGGCCAGAAAAGGACACCAGACCTCATTACAGATGGTTGTGAGCTACCATGTGGTTGCCGGGAATTGAACTCAGGACCTTTGGAAGAGCAGGCAATGCTCTTAACCACTGAGCCATCTCTCTAGCCCCCAAGAATTTTTAAAAAAAAGAAAAGAAAAAGAAATGTGCCAACAGCATCCTGAGTTTGGAGTGTCTGCCTCCCTTCTTTCTTCTGGTAGCTCATATGCACTGCTATAGACCCTGGTACAAACAGCAGGTCCATGCTACAGAATCAAGACCCACGGAGAGGCCGTTCTCCTGAGCTAGGATCTACTTTTCCCACCTGTGGGAAGGCCCACGGAGGAGGACTAGTGTAGCCATGCACCAAACACCTTGGATGACACTTGTCCCCAGGCTCAGGACTACAGAACTAAGGCCCGGGATAGCGACGAGGGAAAATGGTACCTGTTGTTGCTGACTTTGGTGATGCAACTTAATCAGGTGTTGCTGCTGCTGCTGCTGGAGATGCTGCTGCTGCTGCACTACTGCTTGGAACTGTTGCTGCATGACATTCTGTTGTGCCTGGAATTGCTGTTGCTGCTGCTGCTGCTGTTGTTGCTGCTGTTGCAGTGCTACCTGCTGCTGCTGGAACTGCTGCTGTTGCTGCTGCTGCTGCTGCTGCTGTTGCTGTAATGCCACTTGCTGGAGCTGCAGCTGAGCTGGAGAGGGCATCTAGACTTAGGCTGTGCCACCCTGAAGGTGTCCCAGAGCAACATGACAAGGAAGACAGCAATAGCCACTGCCTACTGATAAAGCTGCCTCTGGCAGCTGAACACTGTACATACTAGAGAGACAGATCAAGTAGGAAGTGGCATTTGTGTCGATTATGGAATTTAGCACCATGAATTGCTCTCTGACAATCAAAGAGGAAAGAAAAGGCCCATGAGTCTTTAGTATGGACAACGTACCCAGGCTTTGGAAAGCAGTGATAAACTATTATCTAAGGATTTGCCTATCTGAACATGTCATACAAATGGCATCAGAAATCACGCGCTCTCCTTTTACTTAGATAGTATTTACAAAGGTCACTCAGATTGTGGAAGGTTACTGACGTCATTGGCATTATTTTTTATTGCCAAAAAACATTCTATTGTGCTTCTAGATTTTGTCTATTCAGTCATCAACTGGCAAACATTTGCCAGGAAGAGTCGGCAGCCTTACAAGATTTCATTCAGGTGAACTTGCTCCTGGAGTAATGGTAGCAGTGAAAGTGTGAGCACACAGAGAGCCACCAGATAGTGCAGCCAACCTTGAACGCGTGAACTGTGCTAACAAGAACTGTCTCGCCAGGCAGTGTGGTGCACACCTTTAATCCCAGCACTTGTGAGGCAGAGGCAGGCGGATCTCTGTGAGTTTGAAGCCAGCCTGGTCTACCTACAGAGTGAGTTCCAGGACAGCTAAGTCTACCTACAAAAACAAAAAAATTGTATTTAAATAAAATTAATGGGAAAAAATAACAGTGATTCTTTGTGTACTCAGCCCAGTGATAACATTGTATAAAATTACAAGATCACAACCAGATCTGGATGGGCTCAGTCACCACCCCCCAAGAGGACACTCAATAGCTCCAGCACAAGTATCCCTCAACTGTTACCTCCCACTCAACACCTCCCCTTAGGTCTCGCATGTTAGAAGGAGTATCAACTCTCAGAATTATATTCTGACCTCCTCAACACACTGTGGCACACATAACTCACCCCCGACAAATAAATAAAGAAATAAAGAAATATTTTTAAAAAATGTGCTACAGAATCAAGAACCCATCAGAGAGGCCTTTCTCCTGAGCTAGGATCTACTTTTCCCCCCTGTGGGAAAGCCCACAGAGGAGGGCTAGCGTAGCCTTGCACTGAATACCTTGGCTGACACATATAAAAACATTATCTTTAAACGGGGTAGTATGAACTCTTTGTGACTGGAGCTTACTCGTTCACATGGATGTGGCAACCCAGGAGCAGTGGTATCAGTAGTTCCTTCCTTCTATTTGCCAAATGGTCTATCACAGTTTGGACACCTCCTACCATGACAGTCCACAAGGGTGCAAGATCTGAGGTGACAGCAGATTCAGGCTATTGTAAGTAAAGCTAGTAAGGTTTGCACATGGAGTTTTTAACTTCTGAGATAAATGCCTTCAAGAGAGTATGGCAGTTGAGCTACAGGGGTTTTTGTTTCTCTTTTCATTTTTTTCCAAGACAGGGTTTCTCTAAATAGCTTTAGTTGTTCTGGAACTCATTCTGTAGACCAGGCTGGCCTTGAACTCACAGAGATCCACCTGTCTCTGCCTCCTGAGTGCTAGGATTAAAGCCATGTGCCATCACCGCTCCATTAGGCTTCATTTTTAAAAAGATTTATTTTTATTTATGGGTATGTGTGTGTTATCTGTATGAGTGTATGCCACATGTGCCCACTGAGGCCAGAAAAGAGCACTGGATTCCCTGAAGTTGGAGTTACAGGTGATTATGAGCCACCCAATGTGGGTGCTGGGACCCACACTCGGGTCCTCTGGAAAAACAGTAAGCACTCATAACTGCTGAGTCAGGTCTCCAGTCCCTGTATGCTTATGGTTTATTAATTTTTATTTTATGTGTATGGATGTTTTGCTCACATGTATGTTTGTGAACCTCATATGTGTGGTGCCCATAGACAGAGGCATCAGATCCCCTGGAACTGGAGCTACAGAAGGTTACTAACCACCATGTGGGTGCTGGGAACTGAATCGAGGTCCTCTACAAGAGCACCCAATGCTCCTAATCACTGAGATATCTTTCCCGTTTCCGTCTGATTAAACTTAAAGAACTATCTCTCATTCTCATCTGAAACCCATGAAGGACTGTTTCTCCATCACTAGAACCATTGTCACGATTCCTTTTAGCTACTGCTGGTAGGTGCGAACACTTTTAAAAATATCTTGTGTTACAGACTTCTAAGTTTGATACCCAGAAAACATGTGTACAACCACAATACTCTGAAAATAATGAGGCTTACTTCATTGTTATTTTCATAACCATTTTTTCCATCCTGTGCTTACATTAAGTTATTATGTTGTTGTCATTCAAATCTGTTCTAATATATGGCTCAGTGGTTAAGAACATGTGTTCCTTGTGTTAAGGATACAGTTCACTTCCCAGCATCCACATGGCAGCTCACAACCACCAATAATTCCACTCAAAGGATATTTAATGCCCTCTTCTGGTTTTCACACAAATATACATGCAGACAAAACACTCAAACAGATAAATAAAATAAAATATTTTCTAATAAACCTGGTTTTATCTGTTTAACTAGCCATTACTAATGGGACTAATACATCCTTACCATTTATTTTCATACTTTTCTGGGTCTTATACTATGGGTATGTCTCTTAAAATGTAATAGAAATCACATTCCATCTTTTATAGAAAAACTTGGGGATGGAGAGGGATGGTTTAGCAGCAAAGAAAACTCAGCTGCTCTTCCAGAGGACTCAGGTTCAATTACTACCACCTGTGATGGGCAGCTCACAACTAACTATAACTTCACTTCCAGGGGGATCCAATGCCTTTTTCTGGCCTCTGTGAACTAACTCTCTAACTAACGATCCCCCCCCCTCTGGAGCAAAGCTTAGTTCATTTCATTATGACTAACATATTCCCACCTCATTTTGTCTCTTTTCTCCTCTGCCTTTCTCTGTAAGCTGAAAGTACAGGACATGCACTTTGGACAGGAGGCAACTGAACTACACTGAGTGACATACAGGTAACACTGAGCTACATCCCAAGCCCTTGTCTCTCATTTTTCTAAGCATTTGTTTTTGTTGTTGTTGTTTCAAAGATTTAAGTTATGTGTGCGGGGAGGTGTACATAAATGCAAGTATTTGCAGAAAGCAGAGGCACTGGATCCCCTGGAACTGGAGTTACAGATAGTTTTAAGTCAGTCCATATGGGTGTTGGGAACTGAACCTGGGTCTCTATAAGAGCAGTACATGTTTTTAAAAGCTGAACCATCCTTCCACACTTTTGTGAACTGCGAGAGTCTTTTTTGATAACTGTACTGGACTTTATACATTGTTTGGGTTGTTTATTGCTTTGTTTTTTACTCCATTTTTCCTATTGCTTTGAAATTTATAACTTATTTCCATTGTCTTATAAATAATTTTCAATTTATTACATATAATTAAAAGTACAGCTTGCTAATATACTTCCTAAATTTTTTACACTGATTTAATAGGGGACACGTGCATACCATGGCACACATGTGAAGGTCAGAGGACACATGGTAGAAGAAAGTTCTCTCCAAAATGTAGATTCTGGGAATTAACTCAGGTCACCAGTTCTTACCAGCATTTTAACTTCTTTCCCAAATCCCCACCAGCAGCAGCGGCGCTAGGGACTGAGCCAGGGCCTGAGGACTTCAGGGAGGTTTTCTACTGCTAGGAGTATCCACAGCTTCTATTTTTGGTACAACTTCTGACCCAGGCTGTGCCCTCTTAGGGACACTGGTTGAAGACCTGAACTGGGCTAAATGACAGAGGAGTGCCTGCAGAAAGCATGAGGACAACAGAACAGAAGGCCACCAGCACCTACTTGAGGTGAACCCAGGAGGCAAGGGCAAGGCAGAGAGCACAGCAGGATATATAAGCGGAGAACCACTTCAGCCTTCAACTAGAGCCACGCAGCAGAACAGCCCCTGGAAGCTGAAAACAGGGTGTGGGCCAACAGCAGACAGGAGAGAGGGTATGCACAGGATACCACAGCCTCTCTACTGAATGTCTGAAAAATAATTTATGTAAGACCAATTCTTAGGCGTGGACCACAAGACAAAACTACAAATCACAAAAGCATTCCAATCCCAGCATTCTAAAGCAATCTCTTACTGTAAAAGAGCAAGTAATAGCCAGGAATGAAGGCACAAGCTTAAAAGCTCAGCAGCACTCAGGAGGCAGAAGCAGTGGGTACTGGTACTGAGCAAGTTCAAGGCCACCTGGTTTACTGGCAAGCTCCAGGCAGCCAAGACTATAGAGTGACAGACACTTTGTCTCAAACAAACAAACAAACCTACCAATGCAGCTGACTGCAACCTTAGTCCCAGTCAGGGTAACTGCAGGTAGGACAACCTACAGAAAGGTGTGAGGAGGGCAAACACCTTTAAGAATGGGGATCCTACTGGAGGAATGAATGACTGCAATGCACAACCAAAACTGACCACAGGATAAAAGTAGGGGTAGATACCATACCCACAGCCTCAAGGCATACCTGGGGCACACAGTACAAAGAGTATCACTTATTTGTGTCCACAAATCTCAACAGACAGTTCTTATATTTCACTAATAAAACACAAGCTTTAGCCAGGCAGTGGTGGTGCACACCTTTAATCCCAGCACTCGGGAGGCAGAGGCAGGCGGATCTCTATGAGTTTGAGGCCAGCCTGGTCTACAGAGTGAGTTCTAGGTCAGGCTCCAAAGTTACTGAGAAACCCTGTTTCAGAAAATAAAAACAAAACAAAACAAAACAAAAAAAACCCTACAAGCCTTGCCAGGCAGTGGTGGCACACACCTTTAATCCTACCACTTGGGAGACAGAGACAGGTGAATCTCTGAATTCAAGGCCAGCCTGGTCTACAGACAGTGTTCCAGGACAGTCACGGCTATACAGAGGGGCTCTGTCTTGAAAAACCAAACCAGACAGGCGGTGATGGCACATGCCTTTAATCCCAGCACTCGGGAGGCAGAGGGAGGTGAATCTCTGACTTTGAGGCCACCCTGGTCTACAGAGTGAGTTCTAGGACAGGCTCCAAAGCTAAAAGAAAAGA